AATATGGGGAGTTCTATAAGAGCCTTACAAATGACTGGGAAGACCACTTGGCAGCGAAGCACTTCTCAGTAGAAGGTCAATTGGAATTCAGAGCATTGCTGTTCATTGCCCGCCGTGCTCCCTTTGACCTCTTTGAGAATAAGAAGAAAAAGAACAACATTAAACTTTATGTCCGCCGTGTGTTCATCATGGACAGCTATGATGAGTTAATACCAGAATATCTCAACTTCATCCGAGGTGTGGTGGACTCCGAGGACCTGCCCCTCACCATTTCCCGGGAAATGCTCCAACAGAGCAAAATCTTGAAGGTTATCCGCAAAAACATTGTGAAGAAGTGCCTTGAGCTCTTCTGTGAGTTAGCAGAAGACAAGGAGAACTATAAGAAATTCTATGAGGCATTCTCTAAGAATTTAAAGCTTGGAATCCATGAGGACTCTACTAAACAGCGACGCCTTTCTGAGCTGCTGTGCTATCACACTTCACAGTCTGGAGATGAAATGACTTCTCTCTCTGAGTATGTGTCTCGCATGAAGGAAACCCAGAAGTCCATCTATTATATCACTGGTGAAAGCAAAGAGCAGGTAGCCAATTCTGCATTTGTGGAGCGAGTGCAAAAGCGGGGCTTTGAGGTAGTTTATATCACTGAGCCTATCGACAAGTACTGTGTGCAGCAGCTCAAGGAATTTGATGGGAAGACTTTGGTCTCAGTTACCAAGGAAGGCCTAGAGCTCCCAGAGGATGAAGAGGAGAAAAAGAAAATGGAAGAGAGCAAGGCCAAGTTTGAGAACCTCTGCAAGCTCATGAAAGAAATCTTGGATAAGAAGATTGAGAAGGTAACAATCTCCAATAGACTTGTGTCTTCACCCTGTTGCACTGTGACTAGCACATATGGCTGGACGGCCAATATGGAACGGATCATGAAAGCCCAGGCACTGCGAGACAGCTCTACAATGGGCTACATGATGGCTAAAAAGCACCTGGAGATCAACCCAGATCACCCCATTGTGGAGACACTGAGGCAGAAAGCTGAAGCAGACAAGAATGACAAAGCTGTCAAGGACCTAGTGGTCCTGCGCTTTGAAACTGCACTGCTGTCTTCTGGCTTCTCCCTTGAGGATCCCCAGACCCACTCCAACCACATCTACCGCATGATCAAGCTGGGTTTAGGCATTGATGAAGATGAAGTGACAGCTGAGGAACCCAGTACTGCTGTTCCTGATGAGATCCCCCACCTTGAGGGTGATGAGGATGCATCTCCCATGGAAGAAGTAGATTAGTCATTTCTACCTTCAAAACTTGTGTCCTCTGTAGTTACCTTGTGGTTCCCACAAAAGCCTTGAGTGGCCCTGCCCCACCGGGCTCCATCTGCTGATAAACTAGTGATTATTTTTTCTCCTGGGCCTTGTGTGTAATAAGGCAGGATATAAGGCCCTCAGGCCCTGTTACCCCTCCCTTATTTGGGAGTGGGGTTAGATGTTGTGTATTGTGTTTTTTTGTTGTTTATTTTGTTCTGATATTAAAGTCTACAAAATAAAATGATACCGTTTTATACAGTAAAAAAAAAAAAAAAAAATCTATGAATATTATACATAGGCACAATTTGAAAACCAGAAACTTAAACCTTTGTCAACAACCTTAAAGTAAAGAGATGAGCTGTTTTGGTAGACACATTTCTAAGACAAACCCTAAACGTATCTCACCTTTGTATAATTTCCCTCTTTGAATGAAGGGCTCAGAAACTGGAGGCCATGAATCAGTTCTGACTTACAACAACCCTGTAGGATGTAGTTTTTTAAATGCTTACTGATGAAAATCAGAAACCACAGCCTTTGGTATACACTGCACTGCAATGCAAAGAAAACAAAATCCTCACCACTGGACCAATACACAATATTCATATAAATAGAGAAAAGATTGAATTTATCAAAGACTTCATTTTGCTTAGATCATCCATCAATACTCATGGAAGGAGCAGTCAAGAACTCAAATGATGTATTGCATTAGGCAAATCTGCCACACACGACCTCTTTAAAGTCTCAAGAGCAAATGTGTCAGCTTGAAGACTAAGGTGTGCTTGACCCAAGCCACAGCATTTTCAAAAACCTCATATGTATGTGAACTTTGGACAGTGAATAAAGAAAACCATAGAAGAATCACTGAATCTGAGTTATGGTGTCGAGGAGAATATTAAAAGTATCATGGACTGCCAAAAGGACAAATCAATATCTGTTAGAAGAAGTACGGTACAATGCTCATTAGAAGCCAGGATGGCCAGACCTCATATTTCATACCTTATATTTCATACTTCAGACATATTATCAGGAACCAATTCCTGGAGCAGGATATCATATTTGGTAAAGTGGAGGACTGGAAAAAAAAAAAAAGGAAGGCCCCAATGAGATGGATTTGTACAGTAGCAGCAACAACGGACTCAAATATAGCAACAATTGTGAGGTTGGCACATGACCCAACAGTGTTTCATTGTGCTGTGC